GGAGACTTGAAGTCCAAGACCAAGGTGCCAGATGGTTGCTGTCTATTGAGCACTCTGTCCTTGGGTTGCAGAGAGCATTATCTCATTTCCTTATACAGCAGAGAAAGAGCAAGTGAGCAAGCTCTTTGATGTCTCTTCTTATAAGTGCACCAATTCCACTGGACCAGGGCCCCACCTTCATGAACTAACCTAAACTTGATTACCTCTCAAAGTCCCCATCTCCAGATACTGTCACACTGGAGATTAAGGCTTCAACATATGAATTTGGGGTGACATAATTAAGATAAGAGTACATATCTAAGGTCTTAGTGGGGTGTAAGCATTGACTGAAGCATGCAAATAACTTTCCTAAATTGCATTTATTAAAGGCAGACTCTTCCATTTGAGTGAATGGATATTTTTCACACTATAATTCTTATGACATTCATTAGCATTTATTTTATATTTTTCCTAATAACGCAAGTACTGTATATGGAAGATAGCTTACAGTTAAAATGTGAGAACAATGTTATACCTTTAAAAAGTCATTTTCACAGTTTTTTTCTAATGCAGATTTTATTCCTAAATAGTAGTTACTGAATTTCTAAACAGCCCAGCACTGTTTTCAAAACCTAATATAGTATAGAAAAGCTACCCACCATCATTGAGAATAGTGCATATTTTAACAAAAAAACAGTTTATGTAAATACATATTTTGAAACAACTTTTATATATTTATATTTATTGCAGTGTAGAGAAGAGAAGAATTTCTTAACATGAAACTGTAGGGAGCCAGGTATTTGTCTACAAGAAATGCTGTAGAGAGCCATGCCAGTAACTCACACAAAATATCCATTCAAACTGAAGAGAAGTAAACTAAGAGAAGGTACTGACAAATTGTTTTAAAGCCCTTTGTTTGAATGGTATTGCGATTTTTATTTTATTTTTTCTGCTGTAGGAAGACTGTTGATTAAGAAGGTTTTCTTTTTCTTTTTTTGCTCTTTTTCTTGTTTCTAGGTTTAAACTGGTGTGGACTGTTTTACAACTTTGGGGGCCTATCAGTTTCTGTGGTGGGCTTTTGCATAAAGAGTGCTGTGCATCTGGATGACTTAGTCTGTATCTCTTTATAGCATCTTTGCTTATGTGCTTTTACTATGCTAACATATTTTTTTTGTTGTTATTTATTCTATTTCAGTGTTTATCTGCTGAAGAGATCTTTTCCCTTCATGGCTTTTCAAATGCTACCCAATTAACCAGCTCCAACTTCTCTGTCATCTGTCCAGCAGTCTTACAGCAATTGAACTTTCACCCATGTGAGGATCGGCCCCCACACAAAACAAGACCGAGTCATTCAGAAGGTATATTGGAAGCATTTTTTCTCTTTTATTTGAAGAGTCTATGAATGATTATGAAATTAATATGCTGCTTTTTCTACTTTATTGCTTTTAATTAATCTACATAGAACCTCTTAGAATAATACCTGTATTCAGAAGTATTTAGAATGAGAAGAATTATAACTCACTTAAGTTTCATAAATTTTGCTCTTCTCTTTGTTGAATCAAAATTATATTTAGTACACTTAAAAATTTTATAAGATCCAGTTCTTCATTTTAAACAATATATATTTTGTGCTGTGTGTATTGGATTGCATTTTAATTATTTGGCTTATAATTGATCATTTCATTTCCATTATCTTTTGCTTATTATTTTAAAACTGTTTAGTTTATCTGCAGTTACCAATGAAGAAATAAGAGAACTAACATGTTTCTAGATTAAATCTTCAGGGACCAAATTATTAGTTTTAATTTTCATAGGTAAAAGAAAATACAAGCAGCTATTTTAAGTTACTATAATGGTATTGCCATGAATATGGTATTTTAAAGGTATGATCTTCTGCAAAGAAATTTTAAAACATAATAAAATAAGTGTATGCTTAATATACAGCTCACATGCTTAAATGTGTAGAAGAGTAACTTTCACCAATGAGATAAACCAATTGTTCAGGGAGTCTGCCAATTATGTTGGAATTTTAAATTTTCATTCGTTTGTCTATTAAACAAATAATTATTGAATGACATACCAAGCATTGTTCTGTGTACTGAGGAATCAACATTAAGCAAGAAGAAAAATTCTCTGTCCTATTAAGGCTTACAGTGTAGTAGAGAAAAGAGATAATAAACATTTAAACAAACAAGCAAATAAATAACATAGTTTCATAAAGGTGCTCTGAAAAGTATTTTATATAATATTTTATATAAAATAAAATATTAGTAGGTAAGGGGTAGAAGGTGATGGTGCGTGAGTGTCATCTTGGATAGATCAAGGAGGCCCACTCTGATGAAGTTTCATCTGAGCAAAAGGAGAGGGCCACAGCAAGGTCTTCTCTAGGAGAAGAGTGGCCTTGGTCGAGGGCTCAGCCAACATAGCTTGTCAATGAGCTTGGCATGAGTGAGGAGCAGCAAAAGGCTCCTATGTGTCTGGAGCCTAGTGAGTTGGCAGGGAAGGTAGGAGGCGATACATCCTGGTGGGAGATGGAGGCCAGGCGAGGAAGCCTTGTGGGAGGTGGTAAATTGATTGGGTTTTATTCTGAATATACTGTGAAATCACTGTAGCATTCTAGAGAGGGTAGTGCTGTGATGTCATTCAAATCCATAAAAGGGCATTCCACCTGCTTGTAATCTGAAGAGCAGATTGTAATGGGGCAAAAGTAGAAGCAGGGTGATTGGTCAGGAAACTACTGCCAGGAACTGATGCTCAGGATGATGAGGACTTGGACTAAGGTGGGGGAAGTAGAAGTGTGGAGAAACAGTCAGATTCAGGATGTTCCGGAGATCATGCTAAATGGTTTGCCCTGTGTTGATTGTCGGGGAGGGAATGATGAGTCAAGGCTTGAGCCAGAGAAATGGGAGAGATCGTTATATCATTTCCTAGGATGGAAAAGACTGGGAGTAGCCATTTATCATAGAGGAAGGGAGTGGTGAGGATGAAGAGGGGTATAATTTTTGGTGTGGTCACTTTGAGACATTGACATATGCCAGTAGGCAGGGAGGTCTGATAGGCAAAGGCACACAGACATTTGGAGAGGAGATTGCTTTCAGAGGAGATCAAGACTGAGGATTTGCCAGTCTAGTGATGATATTTAAAGATGTTGGGCTGGGCATGGTGACTCATCCCTGTAATCCCAGCACTTTGGGATGCTGAGATGGAGGATTGCTTGAGGCCAGGAGTTCAAGACCAGCCTGGGAAACATAGCAAGACCCCATCACAGCAAAAATTAAAAAAAAAATAGCTGGGCATGGTGGCATGTACTTGTAGTCCTAGCTGTTTGGGAAGATGAGGCAGGAGGATCACTTGAACCCAGCAGGTCAAGGCTACAGTGAGCTATGATTACCCCACTGTACTCCAGCCTGGGTGACAGAGGGAGACCTCATCTCAAAAAAATAAAAGTAAAGATGCTGTTCTGAGTGAGCTCATCTAACATGAGTACAGCTAGATAAAGAGAGTAAAGAGAGATGAAAAGGGAAGACTTAACAAAGGAAGTGACTTTTCATTTCTGGATTCCTTTGTGTATATCCACTTCAGTCTTTCTCTATATGAGTAAAAGAAATAACAACTGCAAAAATAAGAATGATGATAACCGATTCTGTTGTTGTATTTTCTATGTGACAGGCATTCTTTGAAGTACTCTACATGCTAATATATTAATCTCATGCAACTATATGATGTAGGTACTGCTATTCCCATTTTGCAGCCAAGAAAACAAATGTACAGGGAGCTTAAAGTCGTTTGCTGAGAGTTACGCAACTTACATGTGGTAGAGCCAGATTTAACCCAGGTTGCCTTGGCTTCAAAACGCATGTTCTCATTGATATTCTAAATTTATATATACAAAGCCTAGAAATCAGCAAGTATAATTTATCAATATAATTTGTAACTTGTGAATAACAGTAATTTCAATTTTGAAATACTAGTAATTTTGAACTGCTAATTGTTCAAGCACATATTTTTGCTAGAGTGTATTTGTAGTTCTACAAGCCCATTTAACTTTAAATACAGTTTGCACTTTACATTCAAAAGTAAATTCAGTCAATGCTTTAGGATACTACCCTTGACTGTATTACACAGTAAAAGCACAGACTCTGAAGTCAGTTTATCTGGGCTCAATTGCCAGCTCTGTAATTATCCAGATATGTTGAGAACATGACTAACCTTTTCTTGCTTCAGCTTCCTCATCTAAAATAGTACCTTTCTTATGGGCTTGCTGTAAAGATTAAATGACTTCGTATTTGTAAAACACTTCGAACATTATTTGGCATATAGGTGCTGTATTAGGCCTGTTAGGTCTGTTAAATAATTACATCTAACATGTGCATAATTCTAGGTACAGGAAGTGAGGTTTCAGAAAAAGCAAATGCTCTACTCTGTGCAGGTTAATTACTTATATTCAAAAGTAATTTTTTTTAACCCCAGTTGCTCTGTGCAAGTTAATTACTCATATTCAAAAGTAATTTATAAACCCCAGTTACCTAGGTTATTCTGTTTCAGGAACCAGGAGATGAGAACTGCTAAGTCAGAAGCAGGAAGTGAGAGAGAGAATTCTAGGGACAATACTACCAAGTCATAAAATGGGAAAGTCAACAATTTTAAGTTACGAGATCAGAAAGGCACCAGATATTCAGACAGAAAACTCAATAAAAAGATACATGTCTCTTAGGGTGCATATTGTCTTAGGAATTGAAATCAGGCTGGAGTGGAGGGGGATAGGGTAGGAGAAGATACGGAAATGTTTCTGGGGGAATTAGGGAAATGAGTAGAGTACTTGTTATTACTCACCCATCTAAGATGTTTAACTTGGCAATCTATTGCCTTTTTGATGTGATGTCTTGATTGTTTTGTTTTAGTGCAGCCATATGATTATTTAATATCTCTTTGGGTCAGTTATTTCATCTCTAAGTGGATTTCATAATGGTACCTTTATAGAATCGTGGGAAGTATCAAATGAGTTAATATACGTAAGTGCCTGGAACAATGGCTGGCACAGAGGAAGACGACTGTGTTTGTTCTTATACACATGTTCATAGGTTCACCACATTCTCTGGCCCCTGTGTAATCCTATTGTTTTCTCACTAAGAAACACTTTTTAAGATAATTAAATGTACTGGATTTTTCATATAACTTTTCGCTTAATGAAGAGTCAAGTCTTAGCTCATCCGAAGAAATAAAAAATCAAAATAAGAGTAATCTTAAGGGGTCACAATATAAGAATTTGATGAATACGTTTATGTTGACCTTTCAGTGGGTAGATAAAATAATATCATTTCTCAGAGACTTTTATTTTTGAAATTTATTTCCTGTGCTTTATAAAATGATATTGATGAGTACAGTAAACTTATAAGTTAAATTCCTTAGGAGAGAAATTAATTGCATTTTAGTGCTAATTTAATGGTTGAAATTGCCTTACTTTTTGATGAAGTTACAAAATAGTCTTTAATTCAAATAGCAGATAAAGACTATTACTTGAAGCATCCTTGAAGATCATATTGTCCAACTGTGTAATACGACCAGTGATATAAGTCTAAACTCCACAGAGGTTAAGTGGCTTCTTGTAGGTGTGGTACCTAAGGTGAGATGAGAGCTCCTGATTCTTAGTTTATTATTCTTGTTAGTGAATAACAGTGAATTAAATGAATTAACATTTATGTCATGTTCTACTTACGAATTTTTTAAAATATAATAATAATTAACATTTAGTTAAGGGTTACTGTATTCCAGGGACAGCATTAATTGGTTTTATTTTATTCTTATAAAAACTCTACGAAATAGGAGCTATTTTAAATTTAATTTTATTTACTTTTTATTTTTTTGAAATGGAACCTCACTCTGTTTCCAGGCTGGAGTGCAGTGGTGTGATCTCAGCTCACTGCAACCTCTGCCTCCCAGGTTCAAGCAGATCACCTGTCTCAGCCCCCCAAGTAGCTGGGACTAAAGGTGTGTGCCACCACGCCCAGCTAATTTTTTGTATTTTTGGTAGAGATGAGGTTTCACCATGTTGGCCAGGCTGGTATGAAACTCCCGACCTTGTGATCCACCCACCCTGGCCTCCAAAAGTGATGGGATTACAGGTGTGAGCCACCCCACCCGGCCAGAGCTATTTTAATCTGCATTTTAAATATGAGAAAATGGAAACACAGAGAAGTCAAGGAACCAGCCTATGATGCCAATGAGGGGAAGAGCTGGGATTTGAACACAAATCCTCTGGCTCCAGAGTTCACATTGTTAAACACCATTCTATACAGTTTCTCAGAATGTGGCCAGGCAGCAGATATTGAAGCCTGGGCTGTACATAGATCCACAAAATGAGAATCATAATAGTAGAACCATATTTCCTCACAAGTAAAACAGGAATAATAATAGTATCTATCTCATAGGGTTGTTGTGAGAATAAATGAGTTAAAATAGGTAAAGTTCTTATATTAACACACAGTGGACATTCAATACATTTAAACTATCATGACTATATTTCTTTGAAATCTATTAAAGTTTTTCAGGGTTCACTTATGAGGAGACTGGTCCCTCTCTGAAACAGATCATTTGAGAAAGTCCCCTGTGTATATAGAGAGGTCTAAGGAATAGATTTATACCAATTTATTCTTTGGTGTTTCAGTTGAGTAGAAAGGGCTTCAGTTGAGTGGAAACTCCAGACATTTTTTTCTGAATAGTGTTCTAACAATACAAGAAAGGGAAGCTATGCTGTGTGCCTAGAATGTGATGAATTCCACTCTCACCACCCCCCAAGTTGTGCTAATAAATGTGCAAGGGCAAAGAAAGTTAGAAAGTTGGATAAGTGGATGGACTGGTATTTCTTTTTGACAGAGTTCTGGGCTGCACCTTGAAATAGGGAATTTATTCATTCAGTAAGGAATGTGTGTTTTTTCCTGGACAATTTTCTAGGCACTAAGGATGAATAAAACAGTGCTTCTCATTGAGAATCTCACAGTTTATATGATGTAGACAAATATATCAATGATAAAATTACTGTAGCATACAAGAAGTGGTAAGTGAACCAATTAGTTTCGCACACTGATGGGAATCCTGACCAGCCCTGGCGTACTGCCTGGAGCTTCATAGAGAAGATCTTTGAGTTGGCTTTGAAAGCCATGTATGAGTTTCTTAAGGAAGATAGGAAGGTGTTTTCAGACAGAGAACCACAGTGTAAAGGTAAAGCTTTGTTGGGAAAACATGGTGATTGGGTAAAGGCCATGTTGAGAAGGGGATAAATAACCCTTGAGAGGTTGTAGGAGGGGCATTAATAGGGAGTAGTTTCAAATGGCAGCATGAGATGATCACTTTCTTGATTTAGTGTAAGTCTGGAGGCCATGTCAACTAGTAGAAGGGACACCAGATTGCTAACTGTCACCTTATATAAGATGAGGGAGTGAGGCGATGAGGGTCTGACTTCAAGGCACTGGTAATGAGGATGGTGAAGCTGGAGGTGGAGATACCTGAAATAGAATTGGTAGGGTCTGATCACCAATTGTTTGTGGAATTAATTAGTGGAAAGTGAGAAACTGAATTGATCCTACTGTTCCTGTTATTTATGTAGGTAGAGCAAGGATAATGGAGCAGGTGTTTGTAGGGAAGCTGATGAGTTTAACTTGTGCATGTGGCTTTGCTTCTATTTGGAACTTAACAATTTCTTTGCCTTTTAATTTTAGTTTTCAACATGTATATATCTTGTCTGCCCAATGAGATTATAAATATTTGTTGAATGAATGAATGCATGTAGGCTAGTGATTAGATAGAAGTATGTTTGTGTTAAGGGAAATTCCATGTGGATATACCATGAAAAAAGGTGTGAAACTGAGAACTCCCTCCAAGTGGAATGCCTGCGGGGGATAGTGGTATTGTTTTAGATGGTAAGGTAATAAATGAGAATAAAGTGGGCTGTTAGATGAAGTTGTAGGGCATGGTCGGGACCTGAAACTGAAAGGAAAATTTCTGGAGAAGATGCAGTCATCATGGTCAGTGCTGTAGTGATTCTTGGGGTTACATAGTACCATTTATAATCTGATCTTTTCATTTGGTGCTTAGCATAGGCGACTTTGTGTCACTCTGTGTGTGTGTTTGCATGTATGTATGTGTGTGTGTTTGGTCCACATCATCTAGGCTGAATGAACATTTACTAACTTTGTTGATTTGTACATATAAATTCTAGGCTAACAGTAATTATAGTGAACAGTCTTATGTTAATGAAATATGTCTAATTCAGGTAATATTTTTAATTTTGTTGAGTCCTTAGGGCTTTTTAAAAATGAGATTACCTCTACAGGAATAATAAAGGATATTGCTAAAACAATGTGGGCCTGGGAGCCAGACTGTCCAGGTTCAAAATCCAGCTTTGTACCCAGCTTACTTGAACTCCATATGCTTTGGTTTCCCCAACTGTATGAAGGTCGTAGTAATATTTCTCTTACACGGTTTTGTGAGGATCAAGTGAGTTGACACATGTTGGTCACTTAGCACAGAGCCTGGCACATGGCAAATGCTCCTTGAGCTATAGGTGTTGCTAGTGTACTCCACTGACAGTGCCATGGAAAAAAAGTGGCCCACCGTTTCAACATGCTTTGTGGGTATTTTAAAGCAGTGGTTATGCAGGGGCAGCTTTCTCCTCTGTCACTTTGTACTTTGTGTACAGCGTGTGGGGCCAGAGGCAAAGCCTCATGTTGCATAGCCCTGGGGCCAGGTTGTATCTCAGTCTGCACCCATGCATAGGTGATGGTCTTGGGTATGTTTTACTTGTGTTCCCATTTTGTACTTAAACCAGCCCCTCTAGGATAGAGAGAGGGAAATTGAGACCCAAAGGCAATAGGTCACAGGGACCATTAGCTGTAGAGCTTAGGATAGTATTCATTCATTTCATTCTAAGCAACACTTAGTGTGTACCTATTGGGTGCCAGGCCCTGGGTCTCAAGAGATGAAAGATGCACCACCTACTTCTGTCACCAGCATCTCTTCTGTATAGAACGTTTTTGCCTAATCTGTGTCTGGTGGAGTGAGTTATGTAACACAGCCACTCCCTCCTGCCCTTGTGTGCTCACTTCCTGAATGCTTATTGCATTAGGCTGACTTTAGTTTTCAGGAGACCTTCTCCAAGGAGGTGCTGTCCTCAGGAGTCTGCAGGCAAATGATTATGACAAATTCAGTGTTAGCAGCTATGGTCACCTTGAAGCTAACCCCTTCTGACCCATCTCCATCCCTGCTCTCCATCCATCATCCCATACCTTTGCCCTGAAGCTCACACTGCTTCTGCTTTTTCCAAAATGGTGTTTTAATGTATTCTTTGAGCCATAGATGAAACTAGGTGGGTTGGAGCCTATGGACCTCAGATTGTTGCTATTCTAGGTGTTCTCCAAGTTCCCTGCAAACTGTGAAACTCATTAATCCCATAATGATGATTTACAGCTGATTAAAACATAAACTACATTACTATTAATGCTTACTATGCTGTATGTTTATTCTCAGTTTTCTATATACTTTTCATTGAGTAGATTTTGTTCTTTTAAAGAAGATAAGTGTTTTAAACTTTTAAAGATACTTTTTAAGCTTAATGTACAGGAAAACTTCATTTGGTTCCTTGCTCTGATGAATTTCTACTCTCTTTTTCCTCTGACCCACAGTTTGGGGATATGGATTCCTGTCAGTGACGATTATTAATCTGGCATCTCTCCTCGGATTGATTTTGACTCCACTGATAAAGAAATCTTACTTTCCAAAGATCTTGACCTTTTTTGTGGGGCTGGCTATTGGGACTCTTTTCTCAAATGCAATTTTCCAACTTATTCCAGAGGTAAGGATTTTGGTTATTTGTTTCTGTGAATAATTGTTTCTTTTGAACATTTTAGCACTTTGTATGTTTTTAGCCTCCATAATTCTTACAGCGTTTTATGGTCTGGTTTATAGTGTCTTGGATAAAAGAAAGCTGAATCACAGCAATTGTAAAGGCTTGTCCCAAGCTGCAATAGATATCAGTGT